TAGTAAAAGCTGTAAGCCGCAGACGCAAAACAAAAAAAAGCAATCTGGATAAAGGCGGCTCGGGGAATACAGGACGGCCCGGCGCCTTGAGCCTGCGGATATTGGGGGTTTGCCTCATACACAAAACCCGATGCTTGCATGTAAAGGATTTGAAGAGTGGACAAAACAAAAGAGAACAAACTGCAATCATAGAAAAGAGAGCGGTTTGAATTGACTCGGTTTTGATTGGACATGCAATATGTCGAATATCTAAACATTTCCATAATTAGCACGATCAATGTCACTTGAAGCAATCTAGCCTTAGATAGAATGTAGGTACTATAACTCCCGGCTCCAATTAATAACACCTGCGCGACACGCGCTGACACTTTCAAGGTCGTTCCCCTGCTCGGTCTCCCAAGGGAACCGCCATCATTAAAGTCATGGAGCGCAAATATGTACAAAGAAAAACAGGTGACGCAAGTAATACAGACAATTGTTCATAAGCGCCCCAATGAGGTCAACTTGACACGAAAGACCAAGTAGGTAGACTTTAAGTTGTTCTGACGCGTCGATAAGAGTCATGAGACGCGCCCCCCCCCCCCCCCTTTGATTTCGATTTGTATTTTTCTTTTTCCAGTATCATACGCAACTACAACATCACTTCAATATTTTCTTGGGCGTACTGCATCGCGTTTATGGTATTCATTTACCTATGATACTAGACTGTGCAGAACAAACATGACGCAACAACAACAACAACAACAATAACACGGGTTGCCCGCCAATGGGGCGGGCACCTTTTCCACTCAGCAGGCCGGACAATCCAACAAACGCCCCCCCCCCCTTTCCCCCCATTGGCAGTATCATACACACGAATTACCGACCGCCCGGTCTAGGGAGACCTCGAATAATAATAAGGCCCAAACCTTTCTTTTCAGCTAGGTACAGTACATGGGTACATTTACGGTTAGTAAATCATCTCAAAAAAAAAAAAAAAAAAAAAAACCTCTCCTCCCTCCACGGAAGCTCGAAACTTTCAACTTGCTTGTGAATTTTCGGCTCAACATAGGTAGGTAGGTTTTAGACAGGCTGATCAAAACGGAGAAAGTTGAAAACGGTGCAAGTCTTGCCGGTGAAAACCCCCAAGTCAAATGACTCTCTTATTGGCAAACCCCCCTGCTCCTCCCAAGCCAATCCAATGGAAAGTGGGGAGGACAAGATCAGTCAGCGTCAGCCATTTTTCTTTTTTTCTTTTTCTTGTTCTTTTTCTTTTTTTTTTTTCTTTTTTTTTTACTTTTTGTTTTCCGTGTGCTTTGAATTTCTTGCTGGGGTTATAGTCAGATGTATACCACACCTACCTACCTACCTACATATCTCCGAGACCTTGCAGGAAACAAAGGAGCAAATGCTCCAGGAAGGCCGGTCCCAAAAGATAGAGATTACTTTGGAAGGGAGGGGGGGGTTGAATAAAATGTGATTGATAATGGCAACTAGGTTTCCAAAAATCCAAAAACGTGTTTTACGGAGTATTTACCTCATCTTTTGAGGTCATGATGGCTTTTTTTTTTTTTTTTTTTTTTGGGTAGAAAGCCACAAACTACCTACCTACCTACTCAATCCAGCATCATGCATCCGGTTTGTGTAATCCTCCTGTGTGCGGACTGCCCTATCACGGCGGGGCGGTGGTCGAAAAATGAGTTGTCAAAACAACATGTTCAAAATCCGTAGGGCTTGGCCAGCCATTGATTCGCGATGAATTGGGAGGCTTTCACAGAGTCAGCCAATCCAGTCATGCCGATCAGTTGATCTTGTAAGATCAGGGGTGCAACCCACCGGGGTTTCTGCCTTCCCGAGGGACCACCTGAGGAAGATCTGCAAATAATTTTTCCTTTAAGTTTTTTTTATTTCCTTTTGCTGTGAGACAGCAGGGAAAAGGTAGGGCCGAGGATTGCCGTGCGGGAAAAACGGATTTGTCAAATCGTTTTCCAGATGGAGGACTCGGGATCGACAAAATACAAAAAGTCGAATGGTCAAGCCTGGGTCTGTTCTGATGACGGCGTTGGTCAAAGCCCCTGACGGATCGACGACGTTGCAATAAGGTCGGGGGATCATGCGGGTAACCCGTGCAACTGCCGTCAATAGGCATTGAAATCCTGTATTGGGGAGTCGGTCTGCTGTGTCAATTCCAATTGGCTTTAATCTTGAACTTGACGATTCAGGTCCAAAGTCGCGTGGGCGGGTTAAGATTGTGATGGCCCGGGCCCGGGCCCGGGCCCGGAGCCGAGGCCCATAATGCGGAATTTGCGGCGTCGCTTCTCTCGCTCGGTGAATTGATCCGGAGAGACGTCTGGATCTGTCACTGTGAGTATATCGCCAGTAGTGGAATGAATTAAGACCAAAAGAGACCTTGTCGGGTTATCGCTTTCTTTGGTTGGCTCCGGCGAGGTGGGAAGGGCAGAGTATTACCGTATCCTCCTCGTCTGCTGGCGGCTTTTCGCGGATTCCCAGGCCGGCAAAGAATACGGTGATGGAGATGCCGTCATGAAGTTGGAGACAATCTGAAGCGGTGATTGTTGTAGGAGACAAGGTTGTTGAGCCGCCTCAGGCTGGAGATGGCAGTGGCGTCCCGGTCACCAGCAGCTCGGGCCCTGGGGTGCTTGTATGAGGGGACGTCGGTTGTCCAAATGACTTGTGCAGCAATAAAATAGACGAGACATCTTATAATACTTTTGCCAGACAAATAAATTTAATATTTTGACGCATTTTCTTATAGTGCTGAAATTCATACAAATAAGAAGGTACCCTAGAATTCCAGACACTCCTTGTGTAATGTCTCTGCCAAGGACTTCCCCCTCTCTCCCGTCCTTCCCTTGCGGAAAAAGGGGCAAGCAAAAAGAGTGAAGAAAAAAAAAAAGAAAAGAAACAGAGAGAAAAAGAAAAAAAAAAAAAAAGAAAAGAAACAGAGAGAAAAAGAAAAAAAAAAAAAAGGAAGAGGAAAGAGGGTTCTGAAAAAGCCATCATTTTCTATTCCTGACTTTCAATCTCTCTTGTGCCACCTTGGAATCTATCTTCTGCGATGGCTTCATCCAAAGCCTCTGGAACAGACATACGGACATACAGAACAAACTCTCGTGTTATTCCCCTGGCGGGCAGGTGACCTATGCACTTTGTGATACCATGTGAAAAGGACGGAAGGGATGCATACTCTGGTATAACTAATTATACGTGGCGTGAAGCTAGGCCACCTCCTCTCCTCTCTCCTCCCTGGCGTTGTCTCACACAGAAAAAAGAAGCAACGTCCTTTTTTGGAACTTTTTGGCGGCCATTTTTTAATTTTCTGGATCAGCTCCTCAGACATTATGATTCATTCCCGACGCACTCTGGCCCGCCGCCGTCTCTCGAGACTGTTGATTGGGCCGCCACGCCCAACGCATCACGCATATTTCTGGCAGGAACTCACCGTCTCCTTCTCTCTGCCTTTTATTTCCAAACTTCATCGTTTGTTTCATCCACGTTCAGCAACCAAACCGAACATGCGGCAACCTTTTCGCTATTAGGCGACTTTGCTCTTGAACAGCGGTTTGTTGTTGAGCTTTCAACCCGTAATCATCACCATGGCCCCAACTCGATCTTCCCGCATCAACAATAAATGCGCTGGTCGGGATCAGCCCAATGCGCGCAGAAATGGAACTGCTCCGAACCCCGTCTCGAACCTCGTCCGTCCCGACACTCGCTCAGTTCTATCGCGGAGGGGCACAACAGATCGGCCCGATGCACCTGATTCTGACAGCAGCGATCGAGAAGACATCTGGGATGATATCCCAACCGATTCCGTCGAGGCCGACGACAGCGCGCCCGTCCCGACTCAGCACTGGTGGGATGGACCCGCCCAACGCTGGCGGTGCGTCCGCGTCTACCTCGATGCTGCCGACGGCTTCGAAAACAAGCTGCCAAAGGCCCAGCTGGACGGGGCCTGGACCCAGGAACACGAGGCCCGTCTCCAGGACGACTGGAGAGACCACCCGGTCCGGAAGGCGCTTCTGCGCTCCAAGAGCCTGCTGTCCACGCGCCAGTTCGCGGCGCTCCTGAACCACTTCATGAGGCTCGAAGAGCGCACGCTCTGGGAAAACACGTGCTTCTACTTTGGGTGTCTGCCCTCGGATATCATTTCGGCCCGGCACGGCATGATTGCCGTCCCGCACGCAACAGGCATCGGCGGGTTTCCGCCGCACAGCGCGCCGGACGTTGATTACTTTGGATCGTCCTTTTCGGGCGCCGTTTTGTGGAGCTCAGAGCTGTGCCAGAAGATCAACGACCTGCTTTTGCATCCGGTCTGGGAAGGTCGGCCGCACGTCCTGCGTGAAGCCATCAAGTACGTGGTCGTCTGCAGCTCGCTCGAGGATGAACGCTACGAGGTCCCCGCCGTAATGGCTACGAAGATGGGTGATGCCGACGAGAGAACTAGCGGTCCGCACCAGGCCGTGTTCCGACTGCTGTGCCAGGCCATTGACTTGGTCGCGGCCGGCAGGCAAGAGAGGGAAAATGGCTGCCGCGTTGCTGCTGGCACAGGTGGAACTGGTGGTGCCTCCCCCAAGCCATACCTGGTTTGTGCTTACCACATGGATTTGCTGGCCGGTGCCCTTGATTGGGTCAACTTCTGGTGCAGCGCATCTCACGCCGTTCCATCTGACGCCTGGAAGGGCGTCGCCCGCCGGCTGGTGAAGCCTTGGGGGATGTTGACAGATGAGTTATATTTTCATGGGACAGAAATGATGTATCTGGACGTTCTCCGGCAACAGCGTCGTTGGGCGCTGGGAGCCCCTGTTGACAGCGGCTGCTGAGTGAGAGCCTCTAAGTATCCCTTGTAAGCTCGCGATAACTAGATAGTTTTTGCAATAACTCAATTTCGTATTAAATTGTGTTGACAAAGCACCCACTCTATGTGAGCTCAAACTTATGGAAAATAGGGGTTGAAAAAAATATTAAACGGAAAAAAAAACAAAATCACAAAAAATTTGGGGCCGAGCCAGGGCTCGAACCTGGGACCACTTGCAAGCCTTGTAGAAGAAATCCCAAAGCAAGTATGCTACCACTACACCACACGGCCTGTATTTGATATATCGAAAATATTGTTCGCTTTTTATATTTATATCTGCATCATAGTATTTGATCAATCTCAAAAAGATGGCTATTGACCAGCCACTGAATCAGCCGCTGACAGCGCCGAGAGGATGAAATTTACGGTTGTTTTTGCAACCAATAGAATCGAAAGATGAGAAGCTCGGGGATGGTTATATTTTCAAGGAATAAAGTAGGTCCTGAATCTTTTGGAAATTTTTTAATTTTTTTTTGGGGGGGGGGTTACTTTCTGTGGTTCATCATCAAAGACAGCAAAGCAGTCAAATCAATAACTACTTTGCAATTTTACTGAGGTAATAACTAGATATCAGTTTGTATACTCAGTTCTGCATGTGTGTGTTAGACACAGGCAAAGAATTATATTAATCATGATTCAGTTGGGATAATTCAGTTCTGACATGGTACTCGGATGGGGGGAATTGTTCTAGCAATTATTTTAAACAGTAAACGATTTCCCATTATGTATTGAGGCCGTGACATAAGATAGGAGGGATCTCTGGTCTGGGGTATAATCTTAAAGGGACACCCAAAGATATTTTTTACAAGTGCTGAGGTAAACCGTAACCTGGCCTTTTCGAACAAAAAAATGACGAGATTACTCAGTTCTAAAAGAGATTTGTAAGATCCCGAGAAAAAAAGAGAAGAAAAAAACCTGAAATCTTTCGTCATAATAGTCAGCAAATCAAGATAATGGAAGACACCAGGAGGCTTCACGGTACTCCTAGTATTATGATATATCTATATAATTAAACACATGTGCAATCATTCACAGCAGCTTCAAAATTATTAAATACTCTGGTAAGAATTAGATTCGTCCTCGTCATAACAGATTGCATCATTATATCATAAGTGTCCATCCAGAACAACATCCCCCTTCCTCACCATCCTCTCAAAGTACCTTAGACATGGAAAATAAGTAACCGACATCTTACAACAGTCCAACGAAACCAACCGCGCCAATCACACCTGCCAAAACTCCAGCCCAAGGAGCCCTAGCAACCATGCCTGCAGCCCCAGTTACAGGAGTCTCGGTGGGAGTGGGCGCGCTACCACCAGCACCGGATCCAGTCGTGGTAGCGGCTCCTCCACCGTTTCCGCCAGTGCCGTTCGACCCAGAAGAGGCCAACTGCACCTCCCTAAACTGCTTGGCGATCCACTCGGCCGCCTCGACGCCGTAGAGCCGGAAGTAGGCCCCGTGAGCGGTGGTGACGTTGCCCAGGTCGCAGTAAACGTCGCCGGTGTCGCAGTAGCTGCGGATTCGGTCGGCAAAGGGCTCGCAGGCCGTCACGTTTTCACGGGGGGCAAGCTATACCAATAATAAAAAAAAAACGTCAGTTTGCTAGCACAACACCACCGTGGAAAGGAAGAAAAATAATTTCAACGTACCCCGGACTTTGTGCTGGTTCCAACGTTCCATGGAGCCCCGGCTGTTCTGCTCGGGTCACCGAATACAAGATTTGCCACGACTGCAGCACAAAAATTAGCATGTGATATTTATTTGATTTTGTTTTGAGGCGGTCCATTTTATTCTTCTTCAAGTTCATCCAAAAGAAAATCCTCAAAAAATTTCAAAGGTTTCTTTTCTTTTCTTGTCCTCGGGGAAAAAAAAAAAACTCACCCTGATTCTCCAAAGCCTTGGTCATGTTCTCGGGCACTTGGAAAAGGTCCCCAGCGGCTCCGCAGATGGCGTCCATAAGCGAGTGCCCCCCCTGGCTGTAGCCGATCAGCCCAATCTTTGTGTTTGGGCACGCCTCGACGTGCTCGAGCACCAGCCGCTCAAACTCGGTCTTGGCCTTGGCCTCGGAGGCAAAGTAGTTCTCAAACGTCGCCGGGTAGTCGACCGTCGCGATGGACGATCCGGGAATCAGCTGGGTGACGTTGTAGGCGACGACGGACGACCGCCCCAGCCCCGGAGCCTCGGTCGAACCCCGCGCGACGATTAGATGGATCCCCGTTGCGCATGTGCCATCCCACACCAGAGTCTCGCGGGTGTGAAGGACTGCGGTGAGGGCGGTCACGGCCCGGGAGAGGATTTCCTTCATCGTTGACAGCGGAGGTCGAATGAATTTTGTTGGAGAGGCGGGGCACGAGGTTGTATTGGTGGGGGGCGTGCGATGGGATTGCGCACAGGTGAGTGAAACTGTGAGACAGACAGAGAGAGAGAGAAATAGAAAGAGAGTTCCAGACGGGCGTGACACAAAAGAAAAAGGAAGCTTCGGGCCGGATGAAAGGTCCAGGGTTTACATATATATATATCTTTCTTTTTACGGAGTATTTTGCAACCAATCGCAAGATTTCCCATCCCCCAAGAACCAAGGCAGTGCGAACGCGCGTTTGTTGTTGGACCTGCCCGATCTGCACTCCACCTTTTCTCCATTTCCTCTAGTGGCCGGACTTCAGCGGTGCCACCTGTCGCCGTAAATAACCTGGCTCTAGTGCGGGCGATGACCGGATTGGGTAACTATTGGCCGGAAACCCCCGGCCTTCCCTTCCCCGGTCCCCTGGGTTCGGGTATTCCTTTGTTATGGGAAATCATGGGGCTGGGGAAGCGCCTAGGCATGCTGCTTGATGCGGAGTTCAATCCACGCGACGAATAACGATGCAACGGACTATTTATTCCGGGACTGGAGCCCTCAGCTGTCGAGATAACTTTACCACTTCAAGATAGTTTCAAATTGCTTTGAAAAAGCTGAGAACTAGAGTTCTTGTTGAGAAAACATTGTAGCATCTGTTGAAATAGCATCAACTTTTCCGCATCGGGGGGCTTGTTTAAACTTTATCGGTGTTGATCCAAGTCCTGTCCAAACCAAACCAAACCGCATCCAACCCCCCCCCCCCCTCCCCCCAACCACCAACACCAAAAGAAAACTATGAATTTTGAAATGAAAAAGGTAGTCGAGGCAGGCTATAAATCGATAGGAGAGTCTTGGGCAAACCTCGAAAACTCAGATACGACAATGAAAACTTCAAGCTGATTGAAACGCCAGAAATGCAAAGAAGGTCGGAAAGAATAAATAAGAAACCATTCAACAACAGTCTGAATTGGATTCTTGTTTAAAGTACTGTGCCAAGAGGTATTAGTAGTCGCCCCTTCTGTGTTTCCCCGAGGTCTATCCATCCCTTTGGCCTTGAGCTGTTATGCAGTATCGAGTGCTGAGGTCTTGCCGGCTTCCTTGTTGAGTAGGTGCATGACGATGGTCTCTCCCCAATGTTTGAATCTACCCACCGGAAAGTGATTGGCTTGATCGTCTTTGCTGATTGTCTGCAGGAGAGTCGATGACAATCGCTCGGGGTGGTGATAGATTGGGGATTTGGCGTAGTCAAATCCCGAGGTCTCAAAGCACAAGCGTTTTATACAAGATGGCAGCGGCGGTCAAGTCATCGTCGTCGCGGGATGCAACGATTGCTGTTCCTTTGCCAGCAGCAGCACTGAATACTCCCGAGGTGGTTCTAATCAGCATTCAACGAAACGGCGTGTCAGTCAGCATACCATTTTGAGGCACACACCATTGCGAGATGAATTTCTCTGCAGCATAGTGACGAGAATGTAAACTCGGGGACCGCACTACGCCTGCTCCTGCTCTGAGCAGCGGGGACAGAATGGATGTCCCAAGGCAGAAATTGCGAATGGGCCTGCTGTTTGCGCAACGCAGCTTCGGAAGGTGCGGCCTGAGCAAGATTTGAGTGGTTTCAACCGCATCCACTTTCGCCTTGGCTCAGCAGTGCCGCCAACGGCTCGCAATCCGAAAAGCTTGCCACGAAATGTCATCTGGGTTGTGCTTTCATCAACAAGAGAATCTTTCAATATAAAATGGGGAGGAGATGGGTGCGTCGAGCAGGTCCATCAGGTGCTGGATGCGGCACGCCATCTAAAATCTTGGGGCACACCGCCCGGCCGGTGCGGGGGAAGTGCCCTCCCTGCGTTCAGAACCCAACCGATCGTCAATGCAACATTCCATCTTTAATTGCGTGTTCTAGCCTACACAGCCGTCATTTACAGAGTATACACATTATCATAAGTATAGCAAACCCCAACCGCGCCGCAGCCCTCAATGTTCATCACATCCCTGACCGTCACGTCCACAGCGCTGGGACCAACGCTCAGCGGCGTATCCAGAGTCGAGTTGCCCTGGCTGTAATCCATCAGGAGCGCCGGACCCGAGATGTCCACCAGCCTCGCGCTGAGGTCCAGCTTCTGCCAGCTCCACCACAGCCGGTCAAGGTTGGCGTGGTGCAGGTGGAAGATGGGGTCGGCGGGCGAAATGAACAAGTCTCCCATGGTGCCGAGGGTGCCTCCAACACCGTAGTGCCCTCCTCCGTGCACGCCCGATGCCTCGAAATCGGGCTTTCCGTCCACCACCGCGTTGAACCACCCAAAGTCCGGCTGGCTCAGCGTCAGGGCCGTCTGGTTCATGCCCAGGTACCTGGCCGCAAAGTACGGGCTGAGATCCCGCCTCAGGCACTGGGGGTTATACTCGATGTTGGGGCCGGGGCCCAGGTGGACCACGTCGCTGAGCCCGGCCCACGGGCCGTCGCTCACGCACCCTCCGCCCGTCCTCCCGGGCACTTCGAAGAAGCCGTTGGGGTCGCTGGCCTCGAACGGCCCGTTGCCTCCGAACCCGGTGACGGGATCAAACACAGGCGAGTTTACGTAATTGGACGCGGGTGTGTCCAGGGTCCAGTCCCAGTACGGCTGGGCGCCCTGGTAGCCGCACTCGCTGCGGAGCATCTTCTCGTAGGTTGCCGTGAAGTACCTGTGCCAGGCCAGGAAGTGCCCGACGAAGTGGACCGAGTTGGTCTGCTGGATGTGAGTGTAGACCAGGTCGTCGTAGCGGGAGATGACGCCCGTGTTGGGGAAGGCCGGGGTGAGGGCCGGCTTGGTCATTATGCACTTGACCGCGCTGATGTAGTCGGCTTTTTCTTGGGTGGACAGCGTGCGCCTGGAACCTTGATGTCAGAGAGTCTGGG